CTCTTTCCGAGAAGGACAGACACGCTGCCTGATCTCTCCCATTAGGTCTCCTATAAAGTGCTGCACGATGCAAAACACCAAGGCAACTTGGGGATTGGAACCAGCTGATCTTTAAGGTCTCTTCCAACCCAACCCATTCCATGATTCTAACTTGTTTGAAATTTTTTGAAGGTGGAATGAGCAAGTGACAGCACAGGCTGTATTTAGTCCTAGTTTTATGTATCCCAGTTAGAAAAAAAGCTGTTGTGTTTAGGCACTATGCTGAACAACAGGAAAATACTTTCAGCATCTGCTAACTATAAGCCTACAAATTGCTCTGCCACTTGCTGAAACTGTTTCAAAGTTTCATAATTAAGGACATAAGTACATATTAATATCTTACCCCCATTGTAAATAATGCAGTTGTGCAAAATCCATTTGGCATCAGCCAAAAATGCTTCAGTGCAACCGTACATTTTCTTTTTAACATTCTGCAAAGAGAAAATTTGGAATGTATCAGGAAACAGAAAATTTCATGAAATTTCAGAAATGAGTAAAAAATGACAGCTTCTTCCTGAATATTGCTTCCTATTAGTCAGGCGATTAGTAAACCTGACTGCTTACATACAGCAAGACTCACGATTCTAAATACTCAAGAACCTTTACATTCAGGGTGTCTCTTGACTGCCCTGAAAACGTATGAACTGTCTACCTCCAAATACTGAATTATCTCAATCAGCATCTTCAAGATAAAATTGTTATGTTCCTGAAACAGTGCTCCATTCGATGTCTGTAGAAAACTGAGTCCTTGATTTCTTCTACTGACATATTATCACTCCAAAGCATTTTTATTTTTTAATTTTTACAAGATTCAGAAAAAGTTATTGCTCATAAAACACAGGACAGTGTGTGTGATATTCCAGTCTACCCACTGGCTAGGATTCTTTGATTAGATAGAATCGGTCACATGGTTTTGTTACACCTTTATACCATTAAGACATCAATCTCCACTTAAAGACATGGAGAATGACAACTTGCTGTGTCTTCCCTAGGTTCTAGCAGAACAAAGCTCTGCAATACTGCACTTTTTAAGCAGCGGAGAATGGAGAACTTCCTCATGATGTGAAACTTATTAGTGAACTAAGAATTAAAATTATATTATCCACCTCTTGACTGTTTCTTTTTAATTCTATACCTCAGGTACCATGGCAATTACAGCATTTGTTGAATGATCACTAAAATCAGTCTGAAATGACCCCTGCATCTACATCAAATGGTCCCAAAATAATAGACATGGGCTCCATTAATAGCTTACAAACGTGATGATCACATGCAAACTCTGGTTAATGAAGTCTCCCACAGAATCATTCCTGGAATTAGATGAATTTGTATAGGAGGAAGCAATCAGTGTAAGCTTGTCTTGTTCATATCGGTTTTCCTGACCATTTATTTGTTACTGGATCAGATAAAATAGTGGATTTGTTCAGCTGGCACGTGCTTGTTTTTAAACTGTAGCTGAACTGGCATTTACAATAACAACAACAAGAATAATTTTAAGCAACCTCTCTCCCCTCCCATCAAACACTCCAGAAATACTATTGATAGCAATTAAACTCAAGGAACCTTCCTCCATTAGCTTCATACAAACCTTCTCTAATGTACAAAGGTCCATTGGATGAAAGATATATTCTGCATAATCTGGGTGTTGATCCAGTGAAACTGGCTTTTGAAATGGCTCTGTCTGTTAGGAAGAAAGAAATCACAGTGCTTATTAATGCTGAACAGTTTCATCAAAGACACAACACTCGTTCACTCATTCATTTTCCAGTACTAATTCCAACGGTGATGTTACAGAGAATTCTTTAAAGGTAATTATAAAATTTTGTGAAGTAATAAAATATTGACAGAACAAGAGGAACTAGAAGGTCTCAATTCATTGATTTTAATATGCTGGAAGTAATGAATTGCAGAAGTTAGGGGCTTTGTAAAATGTACTGTTACTATTTACACTGGGATTTTTTTGTGGGGAGTATCAGCTGAAGCTCAACAGACAGTTTATAGCAGAATAAAGACACTTACTAAATTTTAATTCACTAGACTCACAAATACCTCTTTCTCAGAGGTATTTTGTTAAAATCTTAACTTTCAAACTCATGGTGGCCTGGTAACACAAACACATTCAAACTTTCATCAATGGGACTCTGCACTGCATCTGTTAATGTGGAAAGACTGCAATTCTTGAAACTCAACCAGTTAAAGAACTCAGGTACCAAAACAATAGGCGATTAATAAAATGGCTAACAGGCAAAATATCTCAATAGGATCCATTAAGCTTTCTAACCACATTTACAAAACCTTTTGTGAACTCAACATAAACAAACATTGATATCTTGTTACTGAAAAGCAACACTTTAAGCTTCTAACGGCTCCACCTAATAGGATAGTATTTACCAGTCCAGAGTAAAAAGGATTCCAGGAACCAAAATCTGTCAGTGCTTAAGAGTAACCTTCCCAGAAATTGACACTATTGTTCTACTAAAACACTTATCACAAAGAGATCAGAGTTGCAGACAGCCCGTGTTTCAGCAGATCTGGTTTTCTCCACTTATTTTACTGTAACACTGCAGATACAGAGACACCCTCCCCCCTCCTCTGACTTATCTACAGTAACAAGAAGGCAATAGGAGTTAAGCCAACCCTTCGTAATTCATTACATAGAATTTTGATGAAGTCAAAACTTGGCGTGAAAGCTAGGCAAAGCTTGCATGGTGAAGAACGAATGACAAGAATTGTTGAAACTTAGAAGCAAGAATGAGTGACTGGAATAGCTGAAACTTTGAAACATGGTGATTTTGAGAAGTGAGCCTGAAGACAGGCACATGAAATAGGTGCAAGTTGGAGGAAAATCAGTTTTACCTTCATGATAAAAACTGGGAGACCAGCAGCCTCATATTGTATGACAGTTAACAGCACAGCTTTCCACCACACTGAGGAAACTTTCTTCAGTGTTTCAGAAGCATATGCTACAACTAACTTTTGTGGCAAGAACAATTTCTACTAACAGAGAGAAGCCAGGTTTTCAACGAGTATAATCAATGATACAACAGTGCTGCACCTAAGGTTCCTGCCCATATAACTGTTTCGGTGAGAGATCATGTCTCCTCATTCTCAGAGACAGTATTGTCCAGAAAGCAAAAAACCACTGTGTCTCACATTGTATTTTCACCACATCTACTGAAACTACATCCAGAAAGTTACACGAAGAAACTACGTTTTAAACACACTACAAAACTGTTCTTACAGCCTAAACTAACCTGTCTGTACTAGACAGGTGGAAGACAGCACAAAAACTGTTACATGGAATCTGATAAAATAAACTAGGTTCATAATCTACAAAAGGAAGCAAAACTCAGGATTGTGACAAACATATAATCCAAGCATTAAAAAGAAAATTGAAATTAAAAAGTCCTTCTTACCCCTGGCTGTTTCATTTTCTGTAGTGCAAACTTCAGTAAATACGATAGCTGTTCAATGGTGAGCATTGTCATTGCTTTACTCTGTGTTTCTATGCATTCTGCGACTGTGATTTTCTAGAAGTTAAGATTAAAAAACATTTGGTCAGGAAACATTCCTAGGGAAATTCTTCTCCACTGAAACATTCTAGCATCCAACTAGAAGATAATAACTATCTTATAAGAAATGAAACATTTCTGATGATGCAGTATAAGCACTTTGGATGTTTGTTTTGCTTGGTTATTGTTCCATGTATGTTAAACAGAAAAAACAAAAGAGGGGAGAGGGGAAAGACAGAGAAAGGAAGGGGGAGGACGAGAGGAAAATAGCAGAAAAATATCCATCATGAATGCGTGAATACATAAAATTCCCAAATACAATGTGGATTCACAGCAATATGAACCTATGAGAAGGTCACCTGCACTCTAAAACAGTAAGCAATCAAACAAAAATAGGGGATAAACCAATTTCCTTTTGTTAAACATACTTTGATGCTAAGTATGATTAAGTTCCTCTACACTAAGGAATGATTAAGTTCTTCCCCAGGCCTGCAGAGCTGATCAGCCCACTAGAAGAAGCACAAGTTAAGCTAGTCAAAACTGCAAAATGTTTTCAAAACAAGAGGTGCCTGATGAAGAGATCACTCTTTGAACTGGTGCCCTCTCCAGAGATGGAAACACAAAGCAACCTGAAGGCTTGTGGGAGGAAGGCAAACACAATCCAGGTACACACACAGAAAAAGTGGTGAAGCGGCAATGGATGCTTCCTCTTCTGTACAAATTTTTTCTGGTAGCTTTAGCAAGAGGCAATACAGGAATAAACCAGCAACATTTCAGAACACAAAATCACCTGCTTATATCTCACAAACAAGAAAGAAATCCACTCCTAATATCAAACTAACCTCACATTCTGGGCAAAACCAATCCCCCTCTGGTTCCGCTGTCAGTTTCAGACACTTAGCATGATAAACCCGAGGACAGAGTTCACAGCAGAGGACTTGGCCTTCCCGATGACAAACCCAGCAATAGAAATCATTCCGTCCATCCTGTGGTACAACATCAACAGGGTCTGTGGTGAGTGGCTGCTTCATATAGTAAAACGGACCATGTCTTAGTTCTGACTGAAATGTAGGCAAGAAAAACAGGTTTGGTTTCAAAACAAATTTGCATTTTTTCAAATAATAATATTCATAATATATAAGCAAACAGCAGTTTACAGAGTTTGATTAACATTTATGCAAGCACAGTATCTTATTAATTGCACAACATCATTCACAAAGAAGTTTGCTGCTTATTCAGATGTCAAATGCCAGTTTGCACTCAAGACTGAAAATAAATCTTTGTGGCAAGTGAGGGCATCAAATGCAAGACATGCAATCCAACCAAAGTCAGTAAACACTTTTATCTTCAAGAAAGAAATATTGCTATAGAAGCTATTAGGTCCTCTAAACACAGAAATCCATGGGGCTGTGCAAGCTAAACACTGAGATATTTAGTCATGGCTAAACCTGGGACAGCTGAAGAAGTTAGTCCTGAAGTAAGAAGTTGAACACCATGCAAATCTGTCCTAAGTTGCAGCAGTTCACAGCTTTGTACAATGAAGCAAGCCAGTGCTGTTTTTGATTAATAAGCCAAACTATAGAGTAGGATGATAAAGGAGCAAATTCACATCCTGAACAGCCACTCTGCTACAGGAGCAGGAACACAGGGAGAGATTTAATCCACCATTTAAACGCATATCAGAATTTAAGACTCACGATCTCCACTGGTTTGCCTGCACTAGAAAACAGTGTTAACTTTGTAAACTGCATGAACTAGTCTTCCACTTGAGCCCCAGGCAGCTCAAAGATGATACAACTGATGCAAAAACACAAGCAGCAAATAGTCTGGGATAGCTAAAATGGGTCCCAGAAACCTAAAGTTTGTTAGATCAGTTTTGAAGAGCTGCTGAAATTTATCAGAAAACTACATTCTATTGATTAATGACAAGGAAACTTAAGTTTCCTGTTTGGTATTAATTACAGAGGTGGTTTGCTGAGGAGAGCATGGAGAGAAGCAATCTTGAGTTTTAGGCAGTTTATTTACTGTGATTTTTTTGCTCCGTGTAAAACCATTTGCTCATGACATTACTTGTAAATATCCAAATGCTGGTAGTTTGCAGAACCATTTTGTTTGGTTCTCAGGTAATTGTTCTCAGGTAATGTGTGTAATTGTGCATCATTTACACATCTACAAGTTCTTAGACCCTTGAGCTGTCACATGCCCATGTGACTCATAGAACCATCTGCAACCATCTGCGTGTTCCATACCTCTGCAGAATCCTCTACAAAACTAGTCACACAGGGCATAAACTAATGTCACCACAAACCACCGGCATGCCAGCTTGGACTGTGGTATTTCTAGATTTCTACAGTTATAAAAGGTGAACAGATCACCTTCAAGGTGAAATTAGATGACACAGAAGTCACAACCCAATTGAAGGTGGTGTATCTCAAAGAGAAGAAAGATCATCTGCAAAAGGATGTTACCCACTAGCATTCCCAAAGCTCTGCTACCTAAAATTTCACTCAAGTTTTGGTGGTTTTCATTTTCTAGTCTTCAGATGATACAGCTGCTAAAAAATGCTTTGTTCCCACCACAGAAATGGGTGAAGTGTTATTTTCTATGCTTTCTCTGTATATATACACAATCATATAACATGACAAGACTCTCAGAAGGAAGGTTCTATCAGATCCTGTGGAATAAGAGGGACAGCATAAGTCTTTAACTACATTTCGAATATATTACTACTACAATCATTCAAACAGATACAGAAGTTATGGAAACCCAGAGTGAAGAAGGGAAAGATGCAATTTACAGTGTAGAAACATGTTTTGTTTGCAGCTATGTGCACCACAGCTGTGAGACCAAAATGTTAATAGTGTATATACATGGAAATGCAGCTGTGGGGCATTTCCTCAACTGCAGATAAAGGAAATTACCAGAAAAATTTAATAGCTCTGAAGTGGGTATAAGCAGTATATCCATATTAACTTCCTAAGAATCGAAGATACTGCTTTAAGACAAATACAAAGCCCATTAAACTATTCCACAGAAATCAGCTCATAACTGAAGGTAAGTCTCTTTTTGTTAGAGAATGAGAAGAATTTATTTTCTGTTCAAGGATGCTTATTTCTTGGAGACATTTATCACCTTATTTTGTCTAAACCATGTTTAAGAACACTCTGCTTCTCCCCCAAAAAAAGTTCTGAGACTCAAAAAAGACCCAAACAACAAACCTAAAGGACTGAATACAAATGATTCAACTGCATCAAAGGACCTTTTCACTTGTTATAATCAGAGCAAAATGTCTGAATAGTGTATTAACAGTTACTAAAGAAGTTTTGTTTTCTCTACTATTTCACAACCAGCCAATTCAAGCTCAAATAGGTGGTAGCTTGTTTTAAAGTCTTTCATAAAGTTATTAAGAGCTGTAGAATGACATAGAAAACTGAAGAAAAACCAACAGTATTTTACTGCTGTTTTGGGGAGAAAAAGTTCACTATTTATATTCAGTTTAAATTAATATTGAAGCTAGTGGTAAAACAAGATGACAACTTCAATTACATTATAACTGACCAGTTAAGTGTCGAAAGTTCCTGATTTTTAACCTGTCCTAGCTACATTCTACGATTCCATAGTTCTTTGCTTGTATTTCAACACTGTAGATACCTGTTGGCACCATTCTGTAGATCTGTTACTGCAACCACAACATGTAATAGGAAACTTCATGCAACTTTAGTAACAGTATCTTGAAACATTCAAATATTACGGAACACTTTGTAGCATAGAAATTTAAGTTAGAGGTTTCCAGTGGTGTTGGCATACCTCAAAATGGAGTTATCAGCCAATCAGAATCATAGCTATCAGCTACTTTATATTTGAAACTTAACCCAAGAGCAAAACAAGTAACTGTATGCCTAGCTCACATCTGTACAGCAGTGGAAGAATCTTTCAACAACTGCTACCACATAGAACAATTTTTCACCTACTTTAATCTTCGGGCATGCCCGTTTCAAATTTGACATGCAAGATAATATTAAAAGCAACTTGTAAAAGCTAAACAAAACTAAACATGTTTTCTTGCTAACTTGCAACAAATAAAGCAAAACAAGCAAGTCTGATTGCTTTTCTTCATTAGATATACAACTTTATTCTATCCTGTAATATTTCAGGTCTGAGATATCTGGAAAATAGAAAAGGATTTACCAAAGGGAATGCAACTGCAACTGTGTTTTCATATGTATTTTTAAATGCATGAATAGAAGTGGAAATTAATATCCTAAGATTCAATTCCACTGTTTGTAAAACTATTTCTACACTGCACAGATAGAAATTCAGACTTCAGTGGGGCAGCATCTCCCAGGTAAATGTCCAGGATGTGGAGGAATTTATATAGCCTGCAGTGAAGCTCAGTAAAGCCAAACTGACCACATTAAACTAATGCAAGCATGTCTACACATGTTACTGCTAGACCTCCCAATTATCCTAAAGTAAAATATGCTTGACACTGTAAACCTGTTCTCTGGCACAGCCTGATTTATTCAGTCTTCATTCCAGGACAACTGCAGTGATTAGGAATTTCATTTTCTGTCTTAGCCAGTGCAATTGTACCAGGATAATATTTAATGTGGATGCTGTTACATCAGGAAAAGGTGCTTTAAACTCTCAGAATTTAATCCTGGCAAAAGCACTTTGAAAAATAGAGATATGTCGTTTTTAAATTAGATGAGAAATTTTATTAAAGCTAAAGACTGCCTTCGTCTAATCTTGTCCAAGATGATGCAGGTGCTTTATAGCATTTGCTATTCAATACACTTCATACAATTCTTTCACTTGCATCCTATGATGAATCAGAAATTCTCAAAGTCTTCTGGAGTTTAGTTCTAAGAACTACAACAAAGAAGACACCAAAAATAAGGTTTCAATCATGAAGACTGAAAAGTACTGTCAGCGTGACCCTTTGATTTAACTAGCTTGGTAGGAGTGTACATTGCTCAGCAGTGTAAAGGAAGGGGAGGGAATGTGCAGAGTACCAAGGAAAGAGCTAGACCTTTGTTAATAATTGGCAGCAGGACTGAAACCAGATGAGAGACTTCTGCTGATATTATTAGATCTTTCTTAATCTTGGATATCACGCCACTGAGCATTTCTTTTTAATGGTTTTAATTAATAACAGCTATCGCTGTTGTTATTGTTATTACATTCCTTCATAATACTTTTGTTCAAAATTGCCTTTATTGCTTACACATCTTATTAGCTTTGTAATATCAGAAACCAGGAAACAACTTGTCTTTCTCATACAGATGTAAACCAGTAAGAGAACATAAAAATCCAACCTATAATGCCAGCTCCTACACCCATTGCATTCAAAAATGAAAATCCACCTCTTCGAATACAAGAATGGAGCTTCCTAAAGAGGAGAGAGCTCCTGATCAGCTGTCTCTACATCCTTCATTGTTTCATATTCTAGCACAACAAAACCATGACTTCTCTTACCTGTTCTTTATTATTACTGTTCAATAGACCAGGCTTCTTTTTCTTTTTTATAGGACTTGTTGATGCATCTTGTGGTGAGTGGCCGTTAGAGGAATGTGGAGGGCTGGGAAATTTCCTTTTCTGTGCTGTGCGTTCAGCAGAGCCAGGATCTACAACAGATGCAAACAATATGGTTGAAGAGTTCATATTGATGAAAAGCATTCCACCAAGGTTGTGGTTTGTCATTCACACTCCTTCACTGAGCAGAATAAAAATTCTCATTGTCTTCCACCCAGTCATCGACAAAACCAGAAGCACAGACTGAGCAATGTCACTGTTAAGTGAATTCTCAATATAGTCATTTAGATTAACAGTAAATATTTTTTCTTTTCCCACAGTATTCAGGCCATTCACCTCAAATTCTAGTACCTTTTGTTAGTAGTAGTGTAGAAGAGTGCTATGCTACATACACTTTAACAGCTTCACTCATATAATTTAGGAACATAAGCAACAGAAGTTAAAACTTGGTAAGAGTAAAGTCAGTCCTCATCATTTATCATCATATTTAAATAAGTTGATAAAATACATCAGTAGAAAAAAAAAAGAAGTTGTCCTATAGTCTGAAAATAAATATGCCACCTCAAATACTTAGTCATTTGTAAGTACCTGCTAAATTGGATTGTGAAAAGATAAAAATTAAGACAAGACTACGAGTCAAGTAGTAGCCTTTGACAGTAAGATAGAGCAACAAACAGGCACAGCCTACAGAGAGTCAACAGAGCTCTCACATTCAACCAAGCAAATAATAAGTCTCAGCTTCCATCTACGACTGGTTACTGTCCCAAGTAACAAAGCTGGCAGAAGTGAGCATGTGCCTGTGTCTCAGCTGCGCTAAGTTGTGTATTGTCATCTTAGTGTAAACTCACCACACCACAACTTCAGCAGCCCCAGTGGCTCTGAACTGCATGTCATGAAACATGCACAAAATTCTTTTAAAAATTAGAAGGAAATTGAAGCAGAGCTCTTACCAAATCAACATCTATTACAATCATCTCATGTCTGCTTTGCTCCTCCAATTATGTGAAAGCATTTTAATTTTTCAAAGATTTTTAATTCTTGTTCTGTTTGTTTACTTGGTCACCGGTTTGAGTTCTTTACAATATTCAGCA